TGTGTGTGTGCTGCTACCAGATACTGACCGTGTAAAGGTGTTGCCTTGACGTTGGTACTGGAGTGCTGAAGACGAAGCTGGAGCTATGGCGTCCCAGGTGAGTCGGCAGGTAAGTCCCAGTGTCTGGCCTCCGCCTCTCTCCTACTACAGCCTCTACGCTCGCTACTGCGCCCAGCGCTGAAGACTAGCACAGCATAACGCTGAGTAATAACTCACACTAACCTACCGAGTGAGAGGCAGACCAGTCTATAAATAGTAAATACTACTGGTCTGGCCTCTCCTAGGTCCTACTGGCCTAAACGTGAGGCCCAGAATGAATGGCCGGGGAAACAATCTGGCCGAACACTTGGATCGAATCGGACGGTCCAAGTGTGGCCTGGGAAAAAAGGGAGGCCAGGGCCTGAACCGTTACCGGTACCAGGGCCTGGCCAGGCCGAACCTGGTGTGGTCCTAAAACGGCTCGTTTTCTGGCCTGAACCGACGCAGGCCCTACTTCGGGCCACAAAACTAATGTGCCAGACTGAACCTAAGTCCCTACCCCTTCCTACCTACCTGACGGGTCCTACTGGGCCCGTGTGGGATCTACGTATGCCACAGGAACCTCACTCCTCTGAAGGGGGCAATGGACTAGGAGATGCAAAGCACCTGCCCAAGCACAGAACAAATATGGGTGCTCCCTTGCGATGAAGGGTGCCCTTGCAGACTTGTCGTATAAGGGAATACACAGTGAGCAGAGGCTACACACTAAGAGCGAATACGGTAGACCTTGGCGCAAGCAAGCGCAGAATGGTGGCTAAAACATATCCAATCCCCTTTGGAGTGGATGAACCATTTATCATCGGGGTGCCATAATTCTATCAGACCTCAAAAAGTCGGAGGGCTACAGTGGCCAGTGATCTACCAAGCAGTCCCTATGAATGAACAGTTGGACCACCGAGGAAAGAAGAGCCTTAGAACAGAGGATTCCTCACTCCCGTGAAGCCATTGATTTCGGGGAGAGGAATTCGTCAAAATTTGCCCAACCCTAATTTAAGAAATTTTCCGAAATTTTGGAAATGTCAAAAGAGGAATTTTGAACGGTCCAAAAGACACCAACTTTTTTGACACACAGTAACCTTGACCTAAACCGAAAACAGGCAAAAAAAAAAAAAACGCACAAACTTTTGACCCCCAAAGGGCCCAAACCCTATTTTCAGTTTTGGGTCCGTTAGTCAGGGGCTGAAAATGGGGGGTTCCCGTTGACCAGTACTGGTTTTGGCCCTCCACCAAATTGGAGAATGAGTGACTCTCCGAGTTACGTCTCAAACAACCCCATCATATTACTGCTTTCTTCATAAAGTTGTTCCCTCTACCGTCTTCACCCGAATATAACGCCCTGGTCATTGTAGCCACATTTGGGGGCATTTTCTGTCCAGATGCAGCGATAATGACCGGCCGTTCTATTCGGGTGAAGACGGTAGTTCCTTGGTTGTCTAACCCCAAATAAAGGACAATATGCTCTTGTGGTCAAGCCCACTAATGTAGGTGAACGGCCCTATTCCTGTTGGTGGACTGATCCTGTTTATCCCTCCGATAATAGAAAGTAATCAATTCAGGAAGCCAAGACATGTTGGCTCCTGTTCATTTTGAGATACATGAAGTCTATTTCCTTAGGATGCAGAAGTGTGAATGGGTCTGTTAATGCTCTCTCCGTCATCAGGTTGTGCACTACTGGTATAGCCTCCTCCTCCCACGCTGCTCGTTCCAAACCACTCAAGCAACTGATGCTCTCAGGGTTTCCGGGGTCATAACATGGGGAGGCGGTTTTTATTATTATTATTATTATTTTAATAACATGGGGAGGCTTTAAGAGTCGGGAATTATATATTTTTCTGACTTGCGGGTGGAATAGGAACCGGACTGAAAACGAAAACAGAACCAGACTGATGCTCCCCGGAATGGACACGATGTGGGCCCATAAGGAACCGGTTTTTTTTTTTTCGTTCAAAGACACAAAGAAGAAGCTGATACAAGTTATAGAACTGAATACAGCTGGTTGGGAATGGTAGAGACACATCAGTCAGGGCAAAGTTGGTGAATGTAGGGACAAGGATGAACTTTCGATGAAGTCAATACAAAACAATTTGCAATGTTATGACGAAGTTAATAGAACTCAATACGGCTGTTTGGGAAAGGGCACGCTCACATCGCTTGGAAAGGCAGGAACATCATCCTGTAAAATGCAGAGCTCTTCCATGTAGTCTGCTCGAATGATATCTGGGCGGTTTGCTAAGACCTGCAGTGATTAGCGCACACATCGACCAGAAGGTAAGCCACACATATCACATGCACATGCATACGCATGTATGGATATATAATTATTGACTAAAAGATTCGCACTTTGCAAAACAAACGAAAGGAAGTAGCAGACAGCATGAAGCACGCTGAAACCGTTCTTTTTCCTTCCCTGTGCAGTGCTTTCTTCTCTTTCTTCCATTATTTTGCCTTTTTCACAGTTTCTCTTTTCTGTCTTATTTTGGTACCCCTTTTACTGTGCCTCTCACATACAAGGCTTGTTGTAGTTGAGTGTGAGCTGCCTACATCCCCGTGTCCCATAACGGCCCACTTGCACTTTGTGCAAGAGAGGCAAAGGGAGAGGGGAGAAAGAGAGCAAAGATGGAAGGAAGTCAAAGCAAAGGAAGAGAAAGGGTAACTAACGTGCGGAATAAAGACTGCCTCCGGAGTCATCCTATCATTGACGGCAGAGAAGACATGAACGCTAGGGATGAGGTGGGTGCTGACATGGAAGACCTGCCGTTTTCACCCGAATAGAACGCCCGGTCATTATAGCTGTATTCGGCACAACTTTCAGCCCAGATACGGCAATAATTACTGGGTGTTCTATTCGGGTGAAGAAGGTAGTTGACGAATAGGTCTTCCATATGTCCAGATATTGGAGGGCGCGTGAAGTCAGGAAGGGAGGGCAGCCCTCCACACACACAGATGCAGAAACCATGGCATTGTAGTGATTGTAGCAGAGAGAGTGATGCCTGCAGCCGAGTGTAAGTCTGCAGTTGTGCAGAGGAGAGGGTCGCAGAGCACTGACACATAGTCCTGCCGCAGCACAGGGGGGCAGATAAGGGGTCATACACATAAAAGAGTGTGCAACCGGTTTGCTGAGGCAAGAAAACATCCTCATTGCAAAGCAAATCGCCGACATCAATCATGGCATGGACCATGGTGCCGTTGTGCCACGCCTCCCCGTGGTCAGAGGCACGCACAATGGCTTTGTAATGGCTGAATCCGTGCCGTGTACAATGCGGGCAGAGATGTGGGATGAGCATGGCGCAGTTCCAGTTGGTGGCGCCTCCTTGCACCTTGTAGAACCTCGATTGTAAAGCCTACGTCCTTGGTCTCGTTACTAGGCAGGGAAGCTCCACATCAAGCTGAAGGGCAAAATTGAAAGAAAGTCCGGCCCCATATAAGGCAGGAAGCAGAGAATACGGAGACTAGCATTAGTAGCAGCCCGACCACAGAGATTGAGGAGGATCTCAGTGAAATCAGAGGAACAGGGATCACAGAGATGTTCCTCGTTGTCACGGACAATGGCCAACAATTTGCAATTTATACAGATGATTTTCCAACTTCCAACACTGGAATGTCCTGGGCTGTGTCATGGTCGGAAATTTGCAGATCATCCATGTGGTCTATGCATTGTGGGCCGATTTGCGGTTCACCCAAAAGATGTTCAATTCCCGGGGCATGCTTCGGGACTGAATACTGTATGGGGACTGCCCCTTGAGAGTGAGTAGTGCACCCTGAGCGAGGACCGTATCGTGCTCTCCAGATGACTCGTAGATGTCCAATGCTGTAGAGCATGAAGCACAGTCTCGTGACTGCTTGTCGTATATTGGCCTGTCTGCAGGAGATACAAAGCAGATATTGCCAATTGGAACAAGGAAACAGCAACAACCTGTGCTGCAGGCACAGAGAGAATCAGGGCAGACAAAGAGACATCCGCTGACCCCCGGATGAGCTGCATGCCATTGACAATACACAGCAGGAGGGAAGTGCCAGCATCCCAAACCTGGGAAGGCTTTTTGACAGCGGGGCAGTCGTTACAGCATTCGTGCAACCATGCCCAAATAGCCAAACACAGGCTTTCTGGAAAAAGTAGAACCTGCGACCATTAGGTTAAAAGCCCAATGCTCTACCAACTAAGCTATACACCCAGAACCCAGATAGGCTTAGTAGGATTTGAACCTACAATATCACCGTTATGAGCGGTGCGTTTGTGGAGAAAAGATTGGACATTCTTCTTCTACGTATGAATTTTGCTCTACTGCAACTGTTAGAGACAGGGCATATCAGAGATTGGGTCAAAGCTAAAAGGGCAATGAGGAAATACCTGGATAGAAAACAAGAATTCACTGTTCAGGGATGAGTTCTCTCAGTCAGAGCTGGGTGCCGGATTCTTTTATTTATTTTTTTCAACAAAAACTAAGCTATATTCTTCTCTCTATTTCACCTTTCACTACCTACCTACCTACCACTACTCCTAAGCCTATACAGGGGACGCCTGCAAGCATAGTTACCTCTCACAATTAAGGGGATGCATGTTGGCCCCCACCGTAATCGGCAGTGGTCAGGGAGCAGGGTGGGGCCACCGGTTAAGGGGGGGCGGCTAACGCAAAGACCAAGCATTTTGCCAGTAGCTGCACCTCCCATCTACTTCCACCGCCCCCATTGAGTAACAGCAGTGTCTATGGCGCAGAGGTCAACTATACAAAATAAAAAAGCCAAAAGCCAAAATATATATATATACCACCAGGACTGTTGCAGCCGGAGCCACAGCGGGAGGAAGCAATATGCCACATGCCAAGTATCAGTTCAAGTCTTGTGTCACGGTGATATGATAGTACATGGCCAGTCCTTTACCAGGATTTATTGGGGTGCAGACGGTTCGTGGGGTAAACCTCCTGAGGGGGAGCAAGGGATTAATTTTATGCATGTTTCTTTAAGGGATAGATTAAGCGGGGGGCGGGCGGGCGGAAGCTATCTCAAGCATTTCACTGCATTGCAAAAACAAATTTGGACTTCAGACTTCAGTTGATTTAGCCAACATAGTGGTGTAATAATTCCTTTCAGACGGGCAGAGACCGCAGGTACCTCGCAGAGTACCCCATCACAAGGGTTCCGGTAGTGCATTCCAGAAAGCAACAACTGGTAGTTATTATAAATGGGACATGATGGATGGGAATTTTGTTGATCCTCACACTCTAAACACAGACCTGTCCAGACTTGATGAACGAAGGGCCAAGATCAACGAGCAGGTTTCTGAGTTGTTCTGCGCGATATGGCACCATCTCCATGTCTCGGCCGAACAGGACATCAAGGCTCACATTAGCCCAGTACAAGCCCAGTGAGCACACAATTTTCAGACCCCGGGCAATTACTGCGAATGCAGCTCCTGGAGATTCGAAAGCCCTCGCACGAACCTGGTCAAACACATTCAACACATTCAAAAAGTGACAGACAAACAATAAATGGCATCGGACTGGAACAACAAGATAACCAAAAAAAGACGTTGGAAAAAAAGAAAAAGAAAAGGCAAAGTGGATTTCTCACAGTTGTGAACAATGCAGAGAAGCATCGCATGGCCCTGCTCATTTCAGCATGACACACACACACACACACACACACACACACACACACACACACACACACAGTGGCCAAAGTCTGAACCCCCCTCGCCACACCTTCGCTCCTCATTGGAGATTCCAGGAGGAGGGGAAGGAGAAGGAGCAAAGGCGGAGGGGAAAAGACCTCTTTTTT